TTTATTTCATTTCGAGTATAGTCTTTATATTAATTTACAGTTTAAAAAACATATATACATTAAAATACAAACAAGCAGTTCAAGGATATTGAAAAAACACAATTTGCAAAAAGATTGTTGTATAAAGAGTGATGTAATTTTCGATGAAGTAACCTGTATCTCGATATTGATATTTTGGTTGTATTCTAATGTGAAAAGTAAAACATTGTTTTTGACAGCACCTTTGAACAATACAAAAAAAAACGTCTTTATTGAATTAAACAGGGTGACAAGAGATGCCATTCTTTGGAATGTCAAGTAGGGCTTGATAAACAAAAATACTTTAGGGAAAACCACTAGGAGATACAGCTTGCGATGTGAAAAGGTAATGGTTGATCTACACCGAGGGGAAAACCCCGCCAAAAAGATATATTACATCAGACAATACATTTATACATATTTCTAGCATGCAACTAATTTGGCCTCACTCTGGAAACTTACACCTTCCATGCACTTAATTTTTTATATAATGCCTACAAACCACATCCCTGCGTCTCTTATTTTGTTATATAACAATGTTTAAAACAAAGTATTATATCATTTTCTACAGAATGAGGTATTTTTGGTAGATCGAAGGGACGTAATTGGATCCTTGTTACAAATATAAAGCATGTTAACCTCATTTTTCTCCTACCCCTTACCCTCCGTAAATTAATTCTGGATGTACTGAACCTCCTTGAATATCATTGATAAATTTTCCTTTTCAAGTATAGGTGATATAAATGATCATTCCCTTAGATCTTCCTCGCGAATGATTTACTGCCTAATCTACATATACAACGGAAAATATAGAATACTATTAACAAAACCAAGAAGAAACTCCAATATTATAAGAAAACCAATGACGTCAATCTAGTAGTAATGATACCAACTCAGGTCATTTACCGGTGACATAATATAGTCGCCTTTATATATATATATTTTTATTTAAACAAAAATAATATTTTGTCCCCTTCCACAGGGATCCTTTATTAAATAATATCGTTCACATTATTATGTATACAAGAATTGACTTTTACATGCAGAATTTCAAAATAATATTCTTGGCCGTTCAAAATATGATAAGAAAATATATTTATAGATATCAGTTAAAAATTAAAGTTCACTTTAAAAAAAAAATAATCACAGATTTAGTTGGCAAAATGATTTTAGAATAAATAAACAATCAGAAACACTTTGCAAAAAGTAACCACTTTTTCATGAATTTCTTTTCTTTCAGATTTGTTTCACATATATACCTTTCCATGTCATAATAACACTTTATCACTGATATTATGTTTTCAAAAACTGGCAAACACTGTTTGCATTTGGCTGCAAAAATGTCTATCCTGACTATAATCATAATACAGTTTAGGGCACTGTTATTATTATTACCGTGAAACCCAAACAACTTATTTTGATTTCTAAACTTAATAAGCAAATTATTACGGGACAACCAATACTCAAGTTTAGACCATATTTCGTTTGAATGAATACAGTAACAAAACCTTTTTTTTTAATCGTTTCTAGACTGTTATTACAGAATGTACATAAGTTTGTAACTGATTTAAATCTTAACAAAGCATATTTCATATAAAGAATTCTATTCAGTAATTTGAACTGAAACCACCTCATGTTAACATCGACAGTTGATTTAAAGGGAAAAAGATAATACGAACACAATACAATATTGTCAAGGTCAAACTCCTGTTTCCACTTTGTAGACTTTTACATTCCTTTATCTTATGCTTCAATAAATAACGGTATATATGTGCACAACCCTTTTTCATTTTTATTATTAATAACAATGCTTCCGGGATGATACATGTAGGTTCAATGACCTTTGGTATGACATTTTTATTAAAAACAATTCGAATAGCATGACAAAAGCCATAATATTGAAGAAAGTTTACATGTACATAGTATTTACGTTGAAAATCGAAATATGAAAGAAATGATCGATCTGTTTTTAAAACATCGTTAACAAAACGTACCCCCTTAGCGCACCAAGACTTATAATAAATTACGTTATTATTAACTTTTATTTTAGGGTTATTCCAAAGGGGTTGACATGCAATATCATAGTGAATTGAGTAAGGTCTGAAAGGCTGATAATACCTCTTCCCAAAATGGGTTGCGCATTGTAGTGGCTAATTCTTTGTAATATTCAGTCCCCATGAATAACTGAAGAGATGTATACGATGGAGGTAAGAATGATTGGAACATATGAAGAGTGAAACTTTCAGAACAAATAAATCTTTTTATCCATGATATCTTAAGTGATTGAGAATGCATAAAAATGTCAGTAAATTTAACCCCACCTTCATTGTACAATTGGCCCATTTGTTTCCCTCTTATTTTATCACGTTTGCCATGCCATATAAATTCGAAACAAGGTCGATTGATATCTTTCATAATTTCTAATTTTGGTTCAGGAAGAGATAAAAATAGATAGTTAGAGATAAAAATAGGTATTTGATCACTTTTCTATCCAGAAACAGCTCGCTCTACAGGCCGCTGAGGGCGATCGTCATAAATAGCGGGTGTCGCATCATTGCCACTTTTTACCTGTGGTATGAAGATAACGAAATAAAAAGTCTGACGAATCTGATCTAAAAATATCATTTTAGCGATGATAGTAATGATAATAATACATAAATCTAAACAAGCCTTTTCTTATTCATGTGAGTATATTGCAAAAGAGGTTTGCAATGTGCAAACAAGGCACGATTAGCATCTTGAACTTAATTCAAAATACCATGTAATTTCCAGTGTAATTCTTTCTGACCGTAGCATTCTGTACTAGTAGGCATGAAGCTATTTTGGAACGCAAAACAGAATTGAAAGATAAACGAGATTATTTATTAAAAAACACTTGTTTGAAAGAGAAATCAGAAAAATAATGGAAATAATTTCAACTTCACAAAAAAGGAAGCAATACAAACAAAATGAAAAAATGACTTACCAAAAGAAGTGTTGAAATTCATTTGAAAATTTGACTGATGTGTGTAAATTGGATTTGTTATGGTAGTTGTATTCTGTGTAATTCGTGTATGATTAATGTTCTATTGATTTGTAAGATTTGAATATAAAACAAATCGTATAATGAGGCAAGAAACAACAACAACAACACACACAATAATACTCACCAATAAGCATTTGATTGGAAAATGGTATAGTCGCATTAATATTATTCCTTATATCATAACATATTGCACTATGATATAACGTCCTATACGGTATAGACTGGTTTAATACCACATTCATTTATTTGTGGATGTTTCCTCCATGGGAACCTATTGACGAGTAATTTGATTAACCTGTTATCAATGAATGAACTACTGTGAATCGAGTATGCATACATTGCTTGTTGCTATATCGGGCAATCTTTTGCAATCTTTGGCAAGCTTTGAGGTTGTCAAGAACAACCTTTGTTTAAAAAATATGCATACAATTTGAATATGACAGTACATCGGCCTATTCGGAATTGTTCTGAAAGTAGCAACAGGCTACCTTTTTCACACCCGAGTCGAGAGTGACAGCTATATGGACAGTTAAACAGGCCCAATTATAAGATCAAACTGGTCAGGAAGGGATTCAATCCGTCAATCCATCTCGATTGAGTGTAAATGAAACTCTGTGCAAACCAATAGCCTATAGCGGGTTTCACACCGGGCCATACGCAGAGTTGCGTAGTGTTTCGTACCGACTACGCCGAGCATATACGCTGCCCTACGATGGCCTACGTAACTATACGCTGAGGGACGCAAAGGTGTACAGGAGACGGACGCGTACTTTCGGCGTAGACACCAGACGCAGAAATAACGCATTTTTACGCAACACTACGCTACTGTACGCCATGCCTACACAATAGTACGCTGGATTTATCAACATTCCTAGACCTATTTACCAAAATAAATCGTTTTACCCCGACAGGAATTGTGTGCAAAAAGAATCGTAAAATAAATTGATATAAATCAACCTTGAAAAAAAGAAATACATGTTTTGTCGACCACTAATAACGTAGAAATATCAGATGATAAGGAGAAGCCAAACCTCCTTGCAAAAATATTTGCTGAGTCAAGTGAAAAATCCAAACATGTCTCAACAAAAACTGTCTCAAATGGAATCCAGTCTGAATAAGGAACTTGATGAATCCACATTGAATACATTAATAGACGAGCCCTTCTTCATTCACGAACTTTAAACTGCAATCGCAAGGTCAAACAATTCTTCCCCAGGACAAGATGAGATTACTTTGTCTATGATTTCTGAGCGACCCAGCACTTCTCAGCTCACTCTCCTAAATTTATTAAATAGAATATGGACAAAGACTTAAAATCCACTTCAACGGGTGCATGCAATCCTTGTACCAATTCCAAAACAGGATTTGAAACCTTCCAATCCCTCATCATAACGCCCTTTAGCTCGCATTTCAGTACATTGCAAAATAATGGAAAGATTGATACTAATACCGGTTAAACTGGTCGTTTGAAAGTATTGATATGAACCCCATGCATGGTGGTTTTAAGACAGTGAGAAATACTTTAGACCATCTCATACGTCTAGACACGGACATAACAAAAGCTATGGCCAATAGAGAACATGTCATCCCTTTTTATAGATTTTGAAAAGGCGTATGATAAAAACGCGTCAAAACGCGTCATATGACACCTTGGTTTGTAAAAACGCGTCGAAACGCGTCATATGACGCACATAAATCTAGGTTTGTCGACAAACCTCCTTTGTGAATTCGGACCACAGTGTCATGAATAAAATCATTTCTTTTAAATAGAACGTTTCAGGTGCGAATGAATAGTATGCTCGATCTCAGAATCATTCGTACAACCAACTACCTCGTTACAGTTTACATAGGATTTGTAAGACCACTCCGCGAGTATGTCTGCCCTGCCTGGAACGGAGCATTGGCCATCGCCCTGTCCAACATTATCGAAAACGTTCAAAAACGGGCATTAAGAATTATGCTACTTGCTAGGTATATATTACGCATCCTATCCAAATGCCCTATCAATAGAGACTTTTAGATTGAGTGGACGAGAACGACGTGAACGTCCACTGATCAAACGTGTCTATGGCAAGTCGTTTTAACATTTATTCCTATTTCTTGATATCAAGAATTACCATTATCAAACTGGTTTGAACTAACCGCCTGCACAAGAAACACACATAAATCACGTTTTCGTATAGAACCAAAGTCCAAAACAGAACGTTACAGGAAAAGCCCAGTGCCATATATTTCACCAGGTTACTGAACAACGCATACATTCCCTTGATTCCTGTCCGAATCCATAACTCTTATTCAAATTGAATGCCTTCTCTTGCTTTGGTGGTACTCCTCTACCGTATACTAATCAATTTATAAAGATTAGTGCCTTTACTGAACCTCAATCTTTCGACTATGACCTTGTTAATGTTATTATTGGAGATTTTAACAGCCATAGCACCTCGTGGGGATACGAGGAAACAAATGAGGATGATGACCTTGCTGGGCAGAGGCACATCATCTTGACCTAATCCATGATGCTAAGCTCCCCCATTCCTTCAATAGCTGTCGATGGAAGAAAGGTTATAATCCAGACCTATCCTTTACAAGTGAACGAATATCATGCCAAACCAAGAAGAGAGTCCTAGAGCCAATACCACATTCACAACACAGACCAATAATCGTTGACATTACTGCTGCTGTGGTACCTCAGAGAGTTCCCCTTCGACGCCGTTTCAATTTTTGTAAAGCTGACTGGGAGAAGTTCGCCATCGATCTAGATGAAGCTTTATCTGATCTTGACCCAGTCCCGGCAAACTACGACCAATTCGTCCGGACTGTACAGGAGATATCCAGGAAGCACATTCCACGTGGATGTAGGGAAAACTACATACCTGGATTATCAGCTGAAAGTGCCTTGATGTACAAGGAGTACATAAAACCCTACGAGGAAGACCCCTTTTCAGAGGAAACCTTGAGTGCAGGTGAGCTCCTCATGGCAGCAATATCAGAAGAACGGAGGAAGTCTTGGCAAGATCTCATTGAGGGTGTTGATATGACGCACAACAGTAAGAGAGCTTGGTCTACCATTAAGAAAATCAGTAACGATCCCAGGAAGTCTACACCCCATTCTAATGTTACTGCAGATCAGGTTGCCCACCAACTTCTCCTGAATGGCAAATCGGCACACAAGAAACGCCACAAAAGGAATCCTTGGCCACAGGTTGACACAGAATCTACCTGGTACTTTGACAACTTGGAACTCCAGACGGCTATCGACTCCCTTAAGAATGGCAAGGCAGCTGGTCTTGATGACATACGTACAGAACAGATCAAACATTTTGGGCACAATACACAGGAATGACTGCTCTCTCTGTTCGATAACTGCGTAACCCTCTCCCAACTTCCTAAAATCTGGCGGAAAGCCCGTGTGATTGCTATCCTCAAGCCAGGGAAAGACCCTAACGAAGCAAAGAGCTACATACCAATCTCTCTGTTGTGCCACCTCTTCAAGCTCTTTGAGCGCCTCATCCTGAACAGACTGGGGCCAGTCACAGAACAACACCTGATACCAGAGCAAGCAGGTTTCCGGCCTGGAAGATCGTGCACTGGCCAAGTGCTAAATCTAACCCAGCACATCGAGGATGGTTTCGAGAAGAATGAACCGACTGGAGTTGTGTTCGTCGACCTGACAGCTGCCTACGACACTGTTAACCACCGTATACTTCTCGACAAGCTCTATACCATGACAAAGGACTCCCATCTGACTAAGCTTATTCAAATGCTCCTGGAAAATAGACGCTTTTATGTTGAACTTAACGGGAAGCGCAGCAGATGGAGGAAACAAAAGAATGGTCTACCTCAGGGCAGCGTACTTGCTCCTGTCCTATTTAATGTTTACACCAACGACCAGCCAGTGTACCCAGGGACAAGAAGCTTCATCTATGCTGATGACCTTGGCATAGCAGCCCAGAATTCCCACATAGACAAGATAGAAACCACTCTTTCATCAGCCCTAAACAACCTGACAGACTACTACAACAACAACCATCTGAAGGCTAACCCTGCCAAGACCCAGGTTAGCTTGTTCCATCTCCGCAACTACAATGCTGGGAAGAAGCTGTCCCTGAAATAGAACGATGTCTCATTGAAACACTGCGATCACCCTGTCTACCTTGGAATAACACTTGACCGAACCCTTTCATACAAACAGCATGTTCAAAAGGTGAAGGGTAAAGTTGGGACAAGGAACAACCTACTACGGAAACTGGCAAACTCATCCTGGGGTGCCAATTCCTCCACGCTGAGGTCAACTGCTCTTGCGTTGTGTTACTCTGCAGCAGAATATGCCTGCCCTGTATGGGGAAGATCATCCCATACAAAGAAAGTTGATGCAGCACTCAACGACAGCTGCAGATGCATCACTGGCTGCCTCAAGCCCACGAATGTGGACAGCTTGCACTCCCTGGCCGGCATTGCTCCATCCGATGTCCGCAGAACAGTTGCAAGTAGGACTGAACGCAGCAGACAAGTTGAGGACACCCGCCATCCCCTTTACTCGCATCAACCGGCCCCTACCCGCCTGAAGTCAAGGAAAAGCTTCCTTCATACAGTCCAGCCACTGTCACAACCTCCTCATTCAACCAGAGTGATCTTGTGGGAAGTGAAACGTTCTAAAAACAAACAACCATGAAAAGCTACCAATCCAGACCAAGGAACAGCTGCCCCCTGGCCATAGATGTGATTGGAAGACGTGGAAGTCCCTCAATAGGCTTCGCACAGGTGTGGGGCGATGTAAATACAACATGAATAAATGGGGAATTACTGACGACACTGACACCAACTGCGAGTGTGGAACATCCGTGCAATCCATGTCACACATATTAAGATGTCCACTCCTAATCGACCAATGCTGCCTGGAAGACCTGGTGGCAGCATATCATCAACGCATCGTTGGCATCAGGCGATTTTCCATCATCTCTAGGTGTTGCATCTGTGACACCAGTCTTGAAGAAGCCAGGACTTGACAAAGAAAGAATGAAAAACTACAGGCCCATTTCGAACATAAGGTTTGTAGCCAAGCTTATGGAAAGAGTCGTCTCATCACAGTTAGCCAACTACTTGGAAGACAACAGCCTTGGTGATCCTAAACAGTCTGCATATAGGAAAAATCACAGTACTGAGACTGCATTGGTGAGTCTTCAGAATGATATCCTATGTGCTCTGGATGATCGGAAATGCGTCATTCTACTGTCGCTAGATATGTCATCTGCATTTGACACTCTTGACCACACGATCTTGCTGACAAGGCTTCGGGATGAATATGGTGTCTCTGGCACAGCACTGCACTGGTTTAGATCATACCTGAGCAACCGACTATCACATGTGCGAATCAGAGGAGTGAAATCACTAGACACCAGGTTGGAGTTCGGTGTCCCGCAAGGATCGGTGATGGGCCCGCTGCTCTTTACGCTCTACTCGAAACCTGTATCTGATATCCTTTACAGTCATGGCATAGGCTATCATGTATACGCCGACGATATACAGGTGTATATACAATGCGACCCTTCTAGCCAGGACTCTGTTGATCATGCTGCATGCAGACTACGGGATGCAATGAGAGATGTCTACAGGTGGATGACATCCAACAAATTGAAACTTAATCAAGACAAAACTGAGTTAGTAGTCTTTGCTTCGAAAGTCCATCAACGATTGCTCCAGAACTTCACTCTAACTCTTCATGATGGGACTGTGATTAAACCGTCAAAGAAGCTGCGTATTCTTGGCGTCGTCTTTGACAACCTCATGCTGCCAGATGTTCACGTCTCAAATGTAGTCAGGACTGTCAAATATCATATCCGGAACTTATGCAGGATTAGAAAATATCTTGACGAAAGTACCACTCATGCTGCAGTCCGTGCCTTAGTTTTATCTCGTCTTGATTACTGTAACAGTTTGTTGAGTGGCACAACAGCAAAGAACATTCACCGTCTTCAGCTTCTCCAGAACCAGTCTGCACGCCTCATCTTCAAACAACCAAAGAGCACACACACCACGCCCTTGTTGAACTCTCTGCATTGGCTTCCTATTCAACAGCGAGTGCTCTTCAAGACCTCCACCCTTGTCTTTAAGTCGTTACACTATCTCTCTCCCTCATATCTTACTGATCTCGTTCATGTTAGGCACTCCAGTTACAACCTAAGATCCAACACTCGTACAGTTTTAGATACCCCAAGGTGTCGAACCAATGCTGGTAAGCGGGCATTCATAGCCACTGCTCCAAAATCATGGAACAATCTCCCCAATTTTGTACAAACTGCTGATTCTCTAATGACTTTCAAAAAACACCTCAAAACACACTTGTTTAACTAATGCCCGCTTACCAGCACTTGTTCTTGCTCTTCTATTACCTGTCTTACCCTTTATTTTGTTCATTCCTATATTGTTACATACATGTCTGTTGTTAAGCATCTTTCTATTTTGTTAATTGTTCATTGTATATGTTAATTAAGCGCTTTGTATCTACTTGTAGAAAAGGCGCTATACAAATGTTCATTATTATTATTATTAAATGAGAAGGCTCTCCAGCGTGCCAAGGCCTGGCAGAGCATTTAGGACACGGAAGAAGAATACAAGTGTATATATCCTTTACTTGAACATGATATTATTTATTTTTGGTGCTTGATAAATCTTTATAGATATTTATCACAACTTTGAAATTTTAGATGGTTACCATTTCGTGTTTTTTCTTTTCTTTTTACTTTTTTTCAGTTATGAGTTATGAATTTTTGATCGATCGGGTGGGTGGTACATGTACGACATTACTTATTATAGGCTCTGTATAAGCTTGGCTTGTTAGAACTCTTGAGAGTAATGTGCCGCGGGATTCCACATCCTTAAACTGCTGGCGAACAGAGCAACAAGACCAAGCTCTGTAATTATTAGGATCTCTGTCCAGTAGTGCCGTGTTTGTGCCATCGAACTGGATCGACCAAATCAATTGATTCATAATATATGCATATGCAATATTTTTCCCCGTAACATGAGAGTAATTTTAATAGTTTCATACTATTAATTAAATGTATTGTTAACTGTAACTGTATAATTGTTTTAAATGGGGGCACGCTACAAGAGTCCTATCTCGCACCCCGGGGCAACGTGTCTGACACGGCCGGTTGTAGCTACTACTCCGAAGATCAAGATTACAGTAATCTTGATCTAAGGAGACACGAACGAACGAGTGCAAGTAATCCACATTTTAATGAATGGATAAACCGTTTTCTTAACTGACTAACTACTGAATCACTCTGTTATGGTCACACACGTTCCCATGTACATTTGATCTCTTTACATATTTAAAGTTTTGAGCATAAGATTTTGTTATATTAATCATGTATAAAGCCTAAAATAAATATGTTATATTGCCCTTTAGGTGCCAAAACATGGGTCGGTCGGTCTGAATTTTTTTCTTCCTTTTTTCACCCTCCTTTGGCTGATATTTCTCAGTTTGAATGCTTTGATATTTTTTTTTCTCTAAAAAACGTTTACAAAAAAAGCCGACCGTTAGATTCCAAGATTTTTGGGTCGGTCGCACAGGGCAATACTACATCTTTTTTTAAAGGACTAATTGGTAAATTGTACTGTTTTTCTCTGTAAAGGAAACTTTGTAATTTACTCTGTAATTTCTAATCGCTTTCCCTTTGTCAATTCAATTCAAGGTTTACTTTCATCATCATTCCTCTTCTCCATGTCTTCACAGTTCCAGTTGTTCCATTTTTCTTATACCACTCCCCTCTCTCTCTTTCTCTCTCATCTTTCGCATTTCCTCCTGTTTTTCTTTCTAACTTACACTCTCTATTTCAATCTTTCCCTCCTGACACTCTCTCTCTCTCTTTCAGTATTGTTTGATTATGTTTCTATGATAAATCCTATATTTTGCGTGACTGTGTTGAATTACATTATCGAGTAGCATTATGAATAGACATTCAATTATTTTATGCAATGCATTTTATTACAGTTCGAAATCAAACAAATCTTCAGTATTTACTTGTCATAAACTCAATTAATCAGCCTCAATTTTTATTTAAAACATGAATATTCCTCACTTAACAATGATTACAAAGATAATAATAGTGACGAATCTATTCTATTTGTATCATCAATTTGTTTGCAAGTATGAAATATGTAATACGTTATGATATATTTTACTGTGTATTATTTGTACTTGTTGAAATGCTTTTTAAAACTGAGCTTGAAAAACTTGAAATGTAACTTAGCTCTCGGGCTACCATTTTGCAGTTGTTCTAATAATAACAATAATAACAATAATAATATGGGTCTATATAGCCCTTATTATGTCGACGATGTCTCTTAGCGCTTTACAGACAGGGGCAAACTCCAATTCGATGGGTTTTGAGACATGGAATGTAAGCTGTAAAAGGTTGTTGGGTATCAACATGTTCAAGGCACTTCCCTGCACCATTTCTGTTTTAAGTACCTTGAATATATCTCCTAGATAATACAATACGATCACTTCTTTTCCAAAAGGCCTGGGATGAGTAATATATTTTCCAAACATAAGATATGCATTTTATACATTCCTTTTGTAGTTCACACTAACATTTTCATCATGAAATTCCCCGCCATCAGCTAGAATCCTTGATAAATATGCACATTCATCCACCCAGGAGGAAACTGAAGATCTTCAATGTATACGTGATGTAAGCCATCATAACATAAATGGGAGAAATAATCCTAGTGGAGGTAGTGCATACAATGTGTGCATCTATAAATATGATGAGGGTAACAACATCTGCATCAAGCAGTAATTATGTGAACAGTGTAATACCTAGGTAACAATGTTATACTGCTTCAAAGCGTAAATAGACTGATCATTGGCGTTAAGGGGTAGTGTGGTCATAGTTGGTCTTAGTGTGTAAACATCTGTTCTAGATGAGATCACACACCTCAGATGCAGCCAATCCTTGAAAATAATTTATTTCGATAAAGTCTGACGAACTTATATATGTGAGCATTTCACCGTAAAATGAAAAATTAAGTTCATGGTTTCACTGGTGGAAAAAGTAAGAAATGATCATTAATATGATACCTCATTGAAATGAAATGATTACAATT